TTTTGATACTGAGGATCAATCTCAGGACCTTGCACTTGCCAGGCAGGTCCTTATGCCACTGAGCTAACTCTCTGTCCAATTTTTTTTTTTTCTTGGGGGCCTGCCTCTTAGCTCAGTTCTTTAAGTGGCTGCTCCAACAAAGCAGTCAGGCTCAAGTTGCTGTGGTTTGATCCCCACAACAAGCCAGCCAAACCTGCCCTGAAGGCATTCGGAGCAAGAAAAAAAAAAAAATTCTTCTGCCTTTCAACAACAAAAAATTTTTTCTTAAAAAACTGAACACAAACAGTGGAGCAAGAAAAAGCACAAGAGAAGAGACATCCACAGAGGTTACAGGAAACAAGTGTGATTGATTTGTGGCCGCCAGGAGAAGAAAGCGCTATAGAGCAGGCAGTTGTCTGCCTCAAGCGCTGAGGATAGGTGTCCCAGAGTTACAGAGAAAGGCAAGCGGGATGTGGTCGTGTGGAAGGCGCTGGGGAATACACTAGCATGTGCTCTCTGGAGGAAGGGGCAGCACTGCAAGTCTGCTTGGTGTGAACTGAACAGAATCAGTAGTGAGGAGGCAAAGGCCACACACATGACTGAGAAGACTTTGTGGAAAGGGGAATTGAGAGAAAGAGCCTGAGAGGAGGGGTGGGTCAGGGAAGGTTTCCTTCTATAGCAAATCCAACACTGAGCATGTTTGTGTGGTGTGTGGTGTGGGGGTGAAGTGCTAGCGAAGATGAAAGAGGAAGTGTAGAAAACCTACTAGAGTGTGTGATGTAAGATCAGACATTCCTGTAATTCTGAGAAACAGTAAAAGACTGTGCATAAGTGGACTCCTAAAGCTTTGAGCTTGGGAGAGCGAAAGAAATATTTGTCCAGCTCTCTCTTCCAAGTCTTGTGTCTCTCACCAAGACTCAGTCTCTCCCTTTTCCCTCTTAAACTTGCTGGTCCTTTTATTTATGCTCCTGTTTTTCAGTCTGGTGCTCTATTCCTTTTCCTCACAATCAGCTCCTGATTCCCCACTTTCGCTACACCATGGACATCAACATGTTGGCCCGGAATAGACTCATCTCTAAATATGGAATTTTTGATCTGGTATGGAAAAGGGATGGTGATCAGGGAGGAGGGTTCAATGTTAGAATTCCAGTGGTGGTTTCCTGTACCCAGTCCTCCCCCAAGTTCTGCTGCTTCTAACAGAGGACTTATCATGTTCTACTCTACAACTGAATAGCCTAGTTGTTCTCCTCTGCCTCTTCCTCCTTCTCTCTGTCTGTCTCTGTCTGTCTCTGTCT